TAAAATACAAATAAAATTGAAGCAAGTAAACTTACCTCAAAAATGCTCATAGAAGCTTTCTTAACAAATTTATTGTATTATTTTATAATTCAAACTTAACTTAACAGTGGTGTAGTGCTAAATAAAGAAGTGAGGGAACGCGTTTTGAAAGTGTTGCTATAATTAGTATTTATTATTTATTACGTCGCCAATACATAAAAACACATATTTCAGAAATAGTAACTATAAATTGTAATTGTAATTGAAACCTACATTTGAAGTCCTGGATAACTTATTAACAGAACTTCCAAGCTTGGTCCATAGTGAGTTCCTTGGACTTGGCTACTCTTGCTCGTGTATCAGTTGCTGAACGATGACACCAAAGCCATTTGTATACATAGTCGTCTGGTTTCCAGTTTTGAATCGGAGGCCTGTGAAGCTCATGAACATGAGGTTTGTCACATGGTTGATTAACAGCCTTGACCTTGTTTTCGTAATGATAAGGTTCATGCTTCTAAAGCCTCGTTCCCATTCAGAACAACTGCATGGGATGTCTTTTTGAACAACCGACTAAAAGATTCAGATCTGACAGAATATGGCACTCACAGTTGTCTAGAAAGTCTGTGTGTGGTGTGGTTCTTTTTGAAAGTGGCAATCTGAAACGTTTACAAAGGGACTCTATTTCCAGCTCAGAAATTATGTTTGGAATGGAATTAGAAGCGCCTGGCCATGACTCATTTGTTTGATGAGGAGTTGGTGTGAATAACTATTGTATCATATTGTTTATGATATTGGTTAAAAATTGACCATGATTGATTGAAACAATTTTGTTGTTATCTGTCAGTGTTATTAATGTAAACTTCATTTCCTTAATGGCATTCTCTGCTTCTAAGGCCTTTTTACCCTTATGTTTCTTCATTACTTCTAAAAATCGTATGCTACAACGAATTAACTATGACTGCATAAACTATGGTAATATCCCTTTTCTGCAAGGCTTCTAAAGCGATTAACAAGAAGGCTAAGTTAGAAATATTAGCTAAACCAAAACAGGCCCGTATTTATATTACTGGAAACTAAGCATTTATTGGTTACTGTGTAAATATGGTTAAATAGGAAACAGGATATTCATAAGCTCTTATACACTTTTACACCTATACCGCTAAATCCTGACCATCCCGGGAGGTGACTAACATTCAAATATCTAACAAGTTTATTGGATTTGATCAGACTTTTAAATAATACTTTAGACAATGCTTGTTGCAATCACTGTATTACAAACGAGCCGATAAATCCTACTCCACTGTGTTTTTGAAGCAGGAAAAATTCAGGGAATTGAGGCACATGAACTTATTTGCTATCGACGGTGTCAAAGTGCAGTGTCACGTAAACAGTCTAATGCCAAGAGTAGCAATTCATTGCTTTATTTTCGAGTAGAAATTATCAGGAGATTTACTTTGGAGTTTCGTAATCCATAATGAAAAGTCTCGACAGTACTATTCATTTTGTTTCATTGAGTTTCTGGATCAGCTGCTAACAATATAATAACTATAGAAAATAAGTGTGAAAAGGTGAGAAGTATAAACTCTGACCATAACTTGTTTGGAACTTTGTGATCAATACTAACAAACAGAACTACACATTTTATTTTGCATTTTTCCAATCTTTCCTTTCATTATACTTTGACATCTTGCTTACAACCTGGATGAAAGGGTTAATGATTCTTTTTCTAGGTGTGCGTAAAACTTCGCGAAGTTTGAGATTTGTAAGATCGGATTAGTTCGAAATAGTGAGGGAATGGCGTTCTAGCTAAGAAAAAAAAAAAAGTTAAGGGAACCTTAAAAATGAATGTTCTCATCAAGTAATAATCGTTACTTGCAGCCTGCTTTGGCAAAGTTAAAAGTTTGTTTCTCTAAATAATAATATTGCTTGTAGTTTAATATTAACCTTAAAGTTTTATCTTTCTAAGGTTAATAGGAATTTGAGATAGAACAAATATTTTATTATTTGGTGTCTTACACGGTCCTGGTGGTTAAGGTACTCAACTCGCAATCTGAGTCAGGAATGTGAATTTTTTTTTACCGAACATGCTCGCCTCATTCAGTCATGGGGGCAATATAATGTTACAACCAATCCCACTTTTGTTGTGATAAGGCAATCCAAATTAAGTATTTCTATCACAGATAGCTCTCGAGTAGCCTTAGGCGAAATTAAATGAACAAACAAACAATGTTATGATTTCTTTTCTTTTGTTGATCAAACATAAATGAATATAGTAAAGAATAGCAAAATATGAATTTATTGGATTTGATATCAAACATGTATTTTAAGAGTATTAATTATTCTGATTGTTTTACCACCTTATACATATATTACATTATATGAATTTGTATTTAATATCTTCAAGTTCCCGGTAACCTTTGTCAGTTATCATTTACGTTGTTCTTCCAGCTGGAATTTGAATATAGTAAAAACGACTTCGATTAATTTACTAGAAAAATGGGGCCACAAACAACGAGTAGTGGCAGCAGGTAGTAAATTTACTAATCACACAAAACATTATTACAGAAAACGGATAACTTAAAATTGAATAAATTGTACAATATATTAGTATCTTGTATGTGAGCCCTTTGGTTCACATAAAGCATTACTCCTTGTATACATGCTACCACACAGTTTATCAGCATATAATTGTGGAACGTTGTCCCAAATGTCCTGTATTATTCCTACAGTTCAGTCAAGTTGTCTTTGACTTTCTCAGTTTTATTTAAGCCCACACAGATTCACTATAGTGCTCATATCGGAACTTTGATAGAGGATTATACAAGGCTCTATCAAAATATCATTTCATCACAATTGCTTATACTTGGATCACTGCCTTGCTGGAATATGAATCTTGGTCCTGATGGTATGTCACAATGGATTAAAATTTACTTGTAGGTAGTCAAGGTGCCATCAGTTTTGTAAAGATCAATGATACCACTGCCTGAAATGTAACCTCAAACTTGTACTTATATCCCTTGCAGTTAATGTTAACATTTACATCTTGTCATTGATTGTTGCTAGACAATATAAACTTAAGATTCATTTGTAAAGTACACAGGTCTCCAGTAACCTAAATACTATTTTATTAAACTTGTAATTTTTAAAAGTATTTTCAAATCGATAACAGGTTTGTCATATTTGATCATATTAACTAGTATTTTCTGTATCTAATTGTGTTATCAAAGGTATTGCAAAAAAGAAATTAGCTCAACTTTCATTAATAAGTAGAATTGTTATTAATAACATGGGCAAGTTTAGGTGCGACTCATATTATAATAAAATCTTATGTTATGGGGGAAATAAAATTACTACATGTATTTATGAATTCAGCTGTAGCCTACACAAGTTACGCTAGGTGGAGACAAAGATCCTAAGCTAGGCAACTGTATTATTAATAACTAGGAAATCGAAGTATAACAAAGAACTGAAAATGCTTCCCCTGTTGAATGTATAGTCCCCAGGTGGGGCAGCGGTAAGTCTACAGACTTACAACACTAAATTCCAGGGTTCGATTCCCCGCGCTGTACACAGCAGATATCCCAAGGTGACTTTGTTTCAAAACACCCAGCAATCAGTTGGATATACAATCTAATTATAACACCACAGTTGGAGTAAAAACTGTAAAAAGTCAGTTGGATGTACGATCTAATTATAACACCACAGTTGGAGTAAAAACTGTAAAAAGTTTTGTAAAAGTCACTTAGGTGAAAAAAAAAGTTGACAATAATGATTCTTAAATTCTTCCCCTCCCGCAAAACTTTTTAACTACTGTAATCTGTTCTTCTACACTAGGGCTACCTGAACCTAATTTTGAACTGATAGGTTAGAGACACACACTAGAGGAAAGGCAACTAGCCAACAGCTATTTACTTTGAACTCTTTATCTTACCGTATAGTGTAATTTGACCGTTACTCTTATTGTGCACTCATGATTTCAAAGTGCGGTACACATTTTTGCGGCAATATGGCGCGAAATGTAAACACTCGGATTTACAGTCAAAGCACATTAATTACTAAGCCACATCTGACCCGTAACCTGAAACTGAACATTAGTATAGACATTTCTCATTTCAAGGAAAGCCTTCTCGAATAAGTCGTTGATTTTTCGTAATCAGACCTTAAATACATATTTGGTTTGACAGTAAAAATGTCAAAGAACCAGACCTTTCTTGACCACTATAAATCGAATGGTCCTATGGAAAGGACCTTCATCTTCTGAATATATTTGAGGAAAATCTACAAAGGTAAGTCTAGGAAACAAAGGTAGGGTAATAACGGTTTAAACAGTTAAGTTCTTAATTGTACAAGTAGAGCAGGCAAGGCCAGCATAATTTCCAGAAACTTGGGCAACAACTTCTATCCAAATATTTAGAAAAGGTTACTTTTTTATTAGTTTCAATGTGATAACCATGTCTGTTCATTGCGAAAAATAAAAACGGGGTAAAACAAATTCAACTGTACCGTCAATTAAAAAAAAAGGCCAAATAACAATTTAGGCATATATTAACAAACATTCATAGTTTAAAAAATTTGTTTTAATTATGACTTGCATATTATTATAAAATGGTTATGTTTCAACTGTCTGTTTGTTTTTGTTTTGAATTTCGCACAAAGCTACAAGAGGGCTATCTGCGCTAGCCGGCCCTAATTTAGCAGTGTAAGACTAGAGGGAAGGCAGCTAATCATCACCACCCACCGTCAACTCTTTTACCAACGAATAGTGGGAGTGACCGTTACATTATAGCGCCCCCACGGCGACGGGGATTCAAACCGTGACCCTCAGATTGCGAGTGGAGTGCCTTTACCACCTGTTTCAACTATCAATAGTTGTACACTATTCTTTCCAGTCTTACTACAGCATACACTTAAGTTTTAATGAAATCTCATGTAAAAAAAAATACACAGTACTGTGAGTGAACATATTAGTATAATAAACATGCTTTAAACTGTTTTGTGTTTGAATTTATGGCAAAGCTACTAACGTTTTCTGCTGTTGCCCATAATCTTGAACTATTGACCAGAGGGAAGGTAGCCAGTCAAGAGCATCCTATCACCCACATCTAATGGATTGCTGACCATTTTGTAACGCACCCACAATTTAAAGTTTGGGAATATTTGGTAGTATCACACGTATTAGGACTTAGCTTGCCATATTCAAAACTTTACCACAGGGCCAACCCTTGCCCTGCAACCAACAAATTTCAATCATAATTTCCTGTATCACAATACAACTGTGCCCATAGAGAGTAATGTTATGAATCATGAAACCTGATAGCTCAAATTCTTAAGTAAATCTAAAATGCTTTAGTAAAGCTTTTTACTTGAACAAGGCCATTTACAATTGGTTCTGTTACATTGAGCAGGTTTTACACCCAATGACTGAAGAAATTCTATGCCCAAGTGATATGTTCACTATAATTAATTCATTCCTGGTGGTAGAAATGGAAGATATAGCAGGGAACAGAATGAGATGGAGGGCAATAACTGCAGTGACCAAGGGTCTTAATAGGCCTACTGAATTAGAGAAGTGAGTTTTACATATTCATATTCAGTTGCTTATTATTGCAAAAATCCTAAATTAGGCTTTAAGGAGGTGAAATGACAAACCTAAATAACATAAAGACAAGAAACACATTAATCTACATAAAAGGAACTGCATGGCATTTAGAGAGAAGTCCTAAAACAGCGAGTACAATACAAACCAGAATAGATGCAATGTTGAGAAGGAAATTAAGCCCGACCAATTTTGCATACGATTAAAGTTTTCAATTAACAACAACAAAAAAATGTGTTACACACCATGGAGCTCTTGTGATGTTCTGCGTTTCAGAATGGCAATTTTTAATAAATATAAAATTTGAATTTAGTGCCATCTTTTGCAAAACACATTACACGTTATCAACCTTACTTGCAAACAGTTATAACAGATCAAAATCACATTGTCCTTTCACTTGTCTTGGGCAAAAGTACAGATGAGCTCAATGCCATCAAGTCATCGTCAACCTGAGAATCTTCTTTGCAAAGTAACCTTTGCTAGATTGCTTTTTTTTTGTCAGAGTTGATTAAAATTCCTAGGTTTAAAAAATAAAGTTTGGAGATGGGTAGTGAAGGAAACTGTATTACAAATATACATCATTTCGACAAGCTTATATGATAATCAGCAGGGTGTTCATTGTCATCAGATTTGAATTCTTAGATCTAAAATGTTATAATTTGAAAATCGTGTTCATATGGGAGAATGGGAACTTCATAGCTGTTGAAAACACTGCATATCTCATGAATAACACACCCAATACTTTCTCAGAGAATGAACATAAGTTTTATTCACTTTTCTTACATATGTTCCAAATAACAATTTTCTTAATCTGCCTTCTTACGTTGTCCTTTCTTGGGTACTACAGGTCGTTGGCTGCGAAGAATAGCACTGGCTCTACGGAGTGCAAGCTAGAAACATAAAAAGGAAAATCACACACGAGACACTTTTTGAGACCACAGTTTCCTTGCATATTTTAAAAAACACTAATTCATTAATCCTGAAAGAAAATTAAAATCTAAAATCAAATTACTTTTTCAAATGTGATGACATTTATAAAGAATGTTTATATACTGCTAAAAATGTGAACTTCTTAACAAGAGAATAATGTTTTGATTTTTAAATGAGTAATCTGTTACAATAGTGTATGATGCACCTTTGAAAATGTTATATGAACATAAAGTTTATGTAAAACAACCTTTTCAACTAGAATACACACATTTTCTGTGGAACAGTAACCAAAGCTGTTATTATTTTTACACTAAAAGTGAAATGTAAGACTTTGTTCATTAAATAAAATCTTACTCGTATAACAAATGTTTATGTACGTTTATCAACTTCGACCACAAAGAAACCATAACTGAAAATGTAGTTCCTTAAAAATGAAAACAACAATATTAGTGTGCAAATTTAGTTACAATACCCCTGGGCGTGCTAATCAAACTCCATTCCTTTCTATCTTGCACCTTCCCTGACAATCTTTTAATAACTAATTTTGCAATAATGACTTAGCTTCAGACAACTTCTCCACAATAAGAGTCAAAAATGTCATCATCATAACGTACAGATTTTTATTTTGTCCAGTTTTAAATTTTACAATTTTATTTAATGATTGTATATGAAGTACAACAGTTCTGGAAGTAAAAGCTCAATAGAAAAATCAACTTTAAATACTGCATTACAGCATAAAGATGTCTGTAAAACAAAAAATGTTCTACTCATGCTACTTATGACAATTACATTTGTACTATGAGAAATAAAACTAATGAAAGAAACTTAATGGTATTAACAACCAACTTTCTGACGTGTACTTGTAAGTGAAATTAGTTATGCATATTGTTTACTTAAACAGAAAAGTGGTTGGTTACCTTAAAATGTGTCTTAACAAATAATTAGACAAAAAAATATAACACTGGAAGCTACAATGGTCAAACAACTTTTAACTAGAGCTGAATGGTAAATGAAAATTTGCTAATTGATCAACTATTAGGCACATTAGCCAATTACGTTCAACTAATTTAACATTTTCATGATGCTCAGATAGTTGAAATAATAATAAAAAAAAACAATTAAGCTGAACAACCTCCAATTAATCAAAAATAATGAGAAATCATAATGGCAATAGTTTGATTAATTAAATAATCAAAAACAGTAATGACCAGGAGTATTAATTTTTATTATTTTCATGACATTAATATATTTAGTCAATTCTTTTATGTAACATTAATTGACATAACCGATGCTCGTAAGTAACTGGTATATCAAGTTCATCTCCAAGCTTCACTTGTAACCACCGAGTGGTTTATTTATCCTTTCACAAACGGTCTTTGCATCAAACAATGCTTCTTAGACCTTGTGTATATACATTTTGTTTGTACTAGATAAAAAAAACCGCAAGACACACAATTCAGCATTAACTCGACCATTCCTTTCTATACTTTCAACTACTTACAATTATATTACCTTATCCATATCTTATTATTCTGTAATCTACTTTATGCCTTTTATTGTTAAAAATCTTTAATCCAATCACAACTTGTTACATATGATCATATTTTCTCCAAAACTCGTGGTTTCTCTCTTTTGAGCAATTTTAAATATTGGCTTTAATATGACACATATTATCTTATTTCAAGTAACAACCATCATAGTAAAGAAGACCAAAGAAAAGGCACATAACACCACTGGGAAAAAAAGTAGAAGCATTTATGCTGCAAAATCAGGAAAATAAACAGTTTAGACTGACAACAAATTTAGTGAGGAAGATGTGATCTGCTATAGCAACCTGAACACGAAAATCTAAGTATTTATTTTGAAGGGACAATTTTAATACTCGCATATATAAACAGTCACCAACGAAAGTAAAAACTAACAGCACTGACAACAATGCCAACATCTTACAGCAGATGATATGTTAGACTGTAACTATGGCAGAACCTACCAAGATGACTTACTCCAAAAAAAACAATGCAACAGATCCAGAAATACCAATCAGGCAACAGAGAAAACAATTATTTACTCAACAGAGCAAAATATGGATAGAGAAATAAGGGTTTTAAATACTTAAAACTGAGGGAAAAATGCTTAAAGTTGTAGTAGCAGTAAAATACACTGAAAACCAATAAATTTTAATAGCTAGCATTATAGATTATGCAACATAGAAAAGGCTTGAAAAAGTGACAGAACAGTTACCATTATGACATTTTATATATAAATCTAAAAGTAAGGCTTCTTTATCATTTTTGAATATTAAATTTCATATAGTAATAAGTGACAAAAGAATAAAACATTACAGTTCTTTCCCAACTATAAAATTATTTACTGTCACTAAAGAGAATGAAAAATAAGAAAATAAACACTTTCGAAACACCTAGTATTTGTAATCAACTTGAATTACCTTTTTTTTTAAATACTATATATTAAAATAAATATTATGATCTTACAAAAACAGTCAAAATCTTATAAAAAAATAACCTAAACTGACCATTTTAAGATCACGTCTATACCGGTTCGAATTAACAAATTTCTTAATGCCTGTCATGGTGCGACGGGCATCTCTTGTGAATTGCACACGAGCTATGTTCTTGTCTGGTCGGTTCTGGTCTGTATGTGCAATAAAAAAAATATCACAATGAATACTTTTGTTTTTGCTAGCTCCAACATCAATGGATAATCAGAAACTCTTTATTTTATAGCATATATATATATCCCCCTCCCTTGCCAAAAACAACAAATTAAACTTTCTTTTGTAACTTATACGTTATAGATTAGAAGTATCACAACTGCATAAACACTAAAGAATTATTTCATTATTGGCAATGAACAGTTAATTTTTACACAATCATATAAAAACAGAACGTACACTTTCTCTTCTTGTACACCAAATTCACACCTTTCCCACCAGGGTGTGGCTCCACAGTAAAAGCTTTCTTATGAATGGTACCAGTGTATCTTGGAGAATGAATATTCTTGGGATTCAGTGGCTCCTAAATTCAAGGTAAAAATGAATAACATATACAGCTCACCCACTATTTGTATTAAGGGGGTTGTCTCACAGTTAAACATTGTCCAAATGCTCATTTGACGCTCTTTTTATGAATATCTAAAAAAAATTAAAATTATGATACCTATATTATTAATAATACAAATACTAACACACTATTCTTATTTGATTTGTATCTTTTTTTTACAGTTATTGAGCTTCCAATACACTGTCTCAGTATAAAACTTAAATAAAATAAAGCTTTCTTATTCCAAAGTTGTTTATAATCATTTGAGGATTACTCTTTATGGCATATGGGATCTAAATAAGAGATCTTGAAAAAATAACTTCCAAACTTTAGCAGTATTTCCAAAGTTATCATAAAATACTAGTGAATGTAATCTATTCCTGCCCAGTGAGTCACCGAACAACTAATTTACACTAATAATTTCAATTATCGTCATGACTTTTCTACAATAAAGGTATATTTTTAAATGATATATTACTCACGGTACAATTAATGAAGCTGCAAATTATCTTTGTGTCTTAGCATAACTGAGCTTCACTTAATATCTTACAATTGTTTTGTAATAAATTAAACCACCAGCATGTTCTGCTAGCATTGGATGGAAAAAATTTACATTTTCTGCATTCAAAGAATGCATAACAGGTGCAAAAGTAATGATGTGCCTTAACCCTTACCAGATGGGGTCACTGAAGTCCCTTGACTTTTTACGTCTGCAAGTGGTAATACCTAACCAAGTTGCATGAAACTTACAACCAATACTAAATACTTAAATAGTATCAAGTTTCAGCTTAAAGAAATTCATATAAGTTGATTTAGTTTTCCTTTCATTTTTTTATGTTGCAAAATGTCAAAAATTTCACTATGAGACACTGTCTTGAAAATATATTAAAAAAAACTATCTTTCATTGGAAATTTTTTTTAAAATTTAGGTCAAAAAGTTTCATAATGACTTTCTTGAAGAACCTGCTTCATTTTAGAATACAGCAAAGACTTTACGATTCTTTCAATAGAAGGGCCCAATGTCAAACACTTAAACTATAACTTGCAATTGAAATCTTCGCTACTGCCGATAGCCTTAAATTCTGATTTTAAGTATGCATAATAACACTGAGAATATTTGTGTGCAACTGTTATACTTTTTTAAAAATTATTTTTGATTAATTACTGAAAATAAAAATTCAAAATAATACAATGTTATTCTGTAATTTAGTTCCAAGAATTTTGTTTTACATCAATTGTGAAAGAAGTTCTACAACCGATACAATCAAAACCTTGAAACTCAGAATTTACTTTATTAAAATCTGAATCCAATTTAAAAAAATAAATCCAAGTATTAAGAAATAAAAAATATTTCAACCAAAATCATTATCAAGTAATGTTTTCAAAATCATATAAAACACTGAACATATTTTTTTCTTAAAACAATAATTCTTCATGTTACAAATCAAAACCTGATACAAGTTAGTTTGAAATTTTAGTTTAGCAATATTCTTTCATTTCTGGTGAGCTAAATTATTATTGGCTTTGAATGAAATATTGTCAGAATTTATATATATATATTTATAGCATTGATAAACAATCATGATCAGTTCAAAACATGAGCTTTGGATTGAATTGAAATTAGCAAAGATTACACATACACACATATATCAATTTCTTACTGTCTAAAAACTTGCAAATAAATTAATTACACACACAATTTATCATAGGATACAACAAAGCATAAATCCTGACTAATTTATAGTTTAGAACGGTGGTTTCCAAACTGGGTGTCATGACACACTAGTGTGCTGCAGCAAGTTGTTGGGGGAGTTCTACCAAAGAATAATTAAGAATATGAACCCTCCACCTCAAAAATGCATGTGGCAGTATGGGTGTTGCTCATATCAAAGTAAGCAAGTTTCAGTATTGTCAAAGAAAAAAAGTTTGTAAACCACTGGTTTAGAATGATCCCATTTTGAGTTACCAAATTTATTTATTTATTCAAACAAAAAATATACTCTTAACTGTGCTGGTGATGACTACATGATTGCCCTTTATAACATTTTTCATTTAACATCAGAAGAGTGAAATAAAATTTTGTTCTTTAATTCCACTCAATTCCATCAACTAGTAAAATTTGGAAAGGAACATAACATGAAAAAAACGTATTAGCTTAAACAAGTATTAATAAACAAAACTACTTTGGTAAGTGCAAAGTAATTTGTCTTGCACTATATTAGCAGTAAACTGAAACTGTAAGCATGCAGTTCTTTGAACTAATATGAATAAAAGTGTACAGTTAATTCACACACATCTTTAATTTCTAAACATTTAAAACCTAATTAAATTGGAAATTAATTTTTATTACAGCAAACTAAACTTTTCCAACAATAGTTATTTATAGAGGAATCACCAGAGGAATTTAATGTTATCAATCAATCAAAGCTATCAATCAAAATAATTTTGTAGTGGTGTTATTCACCTTTAATAAAACACATTCAATTTAGCCCACAAATCAATGGACACTCAAGACAAATGGAATATTTTATCTTTTTTAAATATCCAACATTCTACTAATCATTCAGGCACTATAAAAAGTAAAATAAACAAAATTATTTAACACATTGTTGTAATGAATTCAAAAGTGACATTACCATGATCTTTTCAGTGCTTCATTTTTGAAAGATTAGTTATTATTTTATTGTATGAAATGATTAATCACAATAGATAATTTAATTGTCTATTCAAAATTTTGGTGATCAGTGATTAGTTTTTTTACTGTGACAAAAATTGGTTAATCGTTGGAACCCTGTAAGTGATGTAAAGTATCTGTAAAAACTTTGCGTTAAGAAAGCAGCTATGAAGCTAAACGTAGTGAATACATAACAATCTTGATTTCAAGAACTCGCAAAGTCTTGAATTTATTTTTCAAAATCAGGCCAATTTCATGTATTTCACAAACACGTAAAAACCGTTATAACCAAGACAATGTAATTCCTACATAGTTTAGTAATTTACTACTTATTCTTTTAAACATGTTAAAGATAATAATTCATTTGATATGCCAACTCTATAGCCATTTATCTACTTAATACAAACTTGGGTTTATGTGTGTATACAAACATAAAAAAGAAGATTAAACTGGATTTCCATAATGTGTATGCGATGAGACTGCAACTCAATAACTGAGAAATATATATATATATATATATAGTTTAGTGAATATTATAACAACAAGAGTAAGAGATTTAGAATTTGAGAAAATACTAACTTTGCTGAAAAACTTCTTAATGTTTCTTTTCTTCACAATGAAACTAGAAGTGTTCCTCAATATCATCCACTGCAAGTCTGCTGACATGATGCTTGAGATTATACAGGAAAAAACAAATAATAAAAAGGTCTCTTAAACTCAACAATACAATGTAGTACAACTCTTAACAATCTAATAATAAATATTAAAAAAAAAGGTATCTTAAACTCAACAAGAGTACAGTATAGTAGAACTCTTAACAATCTAAGCCTATGAATTTTTCATGTCAAAGCAAGCCAAAAAAAAGACCTATGACAGACAGGACAATGTTGAAAAATTAATAACTATACATCAATGCCCTAACTAAGGGGACTGACCAATATTTCAAACATTTCTGCCACTAGTACTGGAGTTTGCCTTATTAACTTTGTTATTGTTATTCAACTTTTTATCTTGTTTATATAATATTATCAGAATTTTGACAATTTTTCAAAGCTTTCATTATGGATAAAAACAATACAAGTCTCAAGAATGATTACAAATTTACCTTGAAATATTATCAGCTTATGTCCATAATATAACATTATACACAAATTACTGCATATTTAATATAACAACCTAAATGAACATTAGACCTACATGAATAATTGTATTTATGTTAAATTTTCGAAATATCGGGCTGTAAGTTGTAACCATAACTACCGAGTAAATATAGCATGTCTCGATATAGAGTTAATAATAAATTATAGCTTGCCACTACTACTACATTTATTTTGATTCTGGCAAATCTAAGGTTGAGTTTTCTGACTATACATGAACCATAGATCTTAACCCTCATCAGCACACCTTTGAAAATTTACATTGTAGAACACTTGGGATCCAACCGAAGCCAAGCACAAAATTAGTAGTATTAAACCATTCTAGTTTATAAAAAAAAAAGATGAGGTTTATTATACTCCTATTTTCAAATCATTATCCACCAATACAGGATGAGATTACCACAAAACTGCAAAATTCAACTCCTCAGAAAACTGAGTGTACGTTGTGAGTCGCCTTGGGTCCGATGTATTCTTATAGTAGGCAATTGGTTGAAAATCCAATAAGCAGGTTATTTACAACAATTATCAAACAAGGTCTCTATAAAATAGAGCAACATAAGCAGTCATCACAGAGAACACTTGTTGACGAATGAGGTGTGCATACATGCTCGTCACAAACAGTCCAGATGATATTGTACTACTTTGATGAATTACCCTCTACAACAGCTCATAGTGAAATAATTATTTAGAAATGTTATGTATATTACAGGGTGAACTGTATGTATAGTGATGGTCAATGATAGCATGCAGTCCGCATGGACCCCAGATAAATATTAGATTATAGCCACTAACTCAGTCTGGTTGTTCGGAAACAATAGTGTCATATTGATCCCGGGTTTCTATTTGACAATTACCTGAATTGCTATAAATATGTAATTATGTAAAAAGATATACAACCAGGAAAGTTGTTGGGGTCCATGTGGACCCCAGGTGTGCTTATGTAGGTTAATAATAATTACTAATGTAGTCTCCTCTAGTCACCACCGTGATCAATTGACCCATTCCTGGATCAAGTAGACTTACCTGCTGGTTGTCAATTTTTCTGATTAATGAAGAAGTTGGTTCAAAACCATAAGAAAATACTTAGCAGTCTTATTGTTAACCAGATATAATAGGATATACCTCATTTCAATTGTAGAGCTGTGCAATTAACATAACGAAAATAAGAAATTAACCAGTTATATTAGTACTTATGATTTTTCAACTTTTATGAGTAACCACAATATTTCCAATATAATTTATCTATTATTTGCGATCAAATCAAAGTTACGCAACTTCACTGATTAGGGTCAAGACTCACGAAAATAACTAATCAAAATTCACGTTTCTGATTATTCCATTTCCAACTATCAAAGTCTCAGTTATTTAATTTCTGTAGCTTATATTCGAGTATGAAACATTTTAATACTAGTAATAAACGATCTCATAACATCAAGCTTTTTTGTTCTTCTCTAATTAGATATTTAACGTTTCGCTTTACATATTCCCAGGAAAACGTCCATTAAAGGTTTAATACAATGTGTCAGCTGCAGAATTGCCTACACAAGTTACATTGCAAGTCAGATTTTGGCACGTGGCGAAGCAAGTACGACTTAAGCCTAACACTGAGTAAAACTAAGTGTTAACGATGTTACTTAGTCTAGTAACACTTAACTTTTAAGTTGGTTAATTCTGTTCTCATTTATCATTTCAAACATAATTTCATATATCAAAACCATAATTTATTCTTTAAATTGTGTTTTGTACATAAACACGCTACATTACATATTGTTTAATAAATACTTACAATAATAAAGTACAGTCACACAATACACACGTTCACACGAAAATGGTGGAACAAGAAAGGAAGAATACTATCAGCGTAATAATACATTACTTGAAATTAATATAAAACTTTTATCCTCACATTGATTAATCCATATAATAATAAAAATCCTTGTTTTAAATGTTGTATTATTACATACTATATATAATTCTTTAAGGTACAAAATTTCAAAATGTGTAGAAGAATTATATTTTTAATCGTAAATTTTATATGAGGTGTTTACGGCTTAATGTTCGTATCCTATTCGCTATTTTCTAACAGAACTAAATATTTTGAAAAAAAAAAAAAATCCGACATTAACCCAAATGTAACAGATTACATTATGGCGTAACTTTATGAAAATAATTTTTTCGTAATTTCCCGTGTATATATTATATATATATATAATTTATTTCTCAATAGCACCTTAAAGTCATTTACTTCACAAATTTATGGTGCTTAATGAAAAACAATGTCTGATCCTTTTTGTCGGATAGAAGGTGGGGAATTTTGAGTTTTGAAAGATAACAATTCAAATCGCATTTATAATGGGGTTGGACTGGAATAATGTAGTTCACTATGCCAGTCAAATATCAATTCATAATGTAACTGTAATACAGGAAGCTCAATTAGCAGACATGGGTATTATTTTCTTATAACAGGAAATTAGATATGGCAAAGAGAGTTTGGATCCCGTGAAACTATTTAAAATTCAAGATGGTGTACCTTAGATGCTTATTCATGATATACTTAAAACTTCACCTGTTCTACAGTTAGCGATTCTACTAACCTGCGATTAGGTTCACTACAAATGTTTAAAACTGCTTGAATCAAAAGGACATCGAGGTGTTTCATGCACTTCTCTACTTCTAATAACGAGCCATTCTAATTTGCCCAGGAAGTATAATCTGAACCACAGAGGAGGTGCTAGGCTTCTTAAAAACGTTACACTGTTAAAATTATATATTTACAGTTAATACTAACTTACATGAATGTAATTAAGACTGCCAACAGCTGTGGAATACACTGGTCCTTGTTCCTGCTATTTCCCCTTAATAAAATGTAAAAATTTTCAAAGTTATTGTGTTTTTCAGAATTTTTACTTTATGCACATAGATTCAAATAACACTTTAACTTTCCCTCTTTTGAGGGCATATATGTTGTGGGTTCACTCATTGGCTATTAGCTGACTTTCTTGCAGGGAAGATAACATACGAGGTCCAAAAATGTATACTAACCTTCCTGTTGGCGAATTGGATAAGAGTTAGTGGACACAAACCTTGAATGTTAGGTGCATTTTTTGTCTTTAAAACCAACTTTGCCCTGTAAAAAAAATCAAGGGGATTTTTATAAGAACATCTTAAAACTTAATTTAATGTACTTTACTTTTTAAATTGGAGAATCTTTTTGTTGAGCTGTAACGTAATTTTTGAGTTATGAGTACGGTGTGTTGATTTAGATTAAACTTGGAGAAGTTTAATTGTTTTGTTAGACATTTGTGTAACTTTTTCTAAAATTCAAGCATAACCTGGATTTTACTTTTACTTTGTTTTATCTTAGCTTTGGGGTTTCCATGTTATAGATTTAGGATTAACACACTAAGCTGATAAAAGCTTCTTAGTAAAGATTTCATAGTACTCTTATCAGTTTGACAGATACCATTTTGCATGGGAAATGCCACAGAGTAAAAAGACATCGAAAGTTTTGTTCTGTAGCGAAGGACGTCAGTATTGTCAAGTACTACATTCTCTCAGAGAAGACTGAGCTGCCTAACTTAATAAACAGTCTAGTGAGTACTCTGGTTATCTCACATAAACAAACGATGTATAATTTTATGTGTAAGAATCTGATACCAGGGTTGAAAGATACACAGGAAGGGTGGTGAGATCTAGAAGAAGTTCTGTCTCGAACTTTCGCCAATTATGCTAAGGTCCCAGACAAACATAACAATAAAGCTGAGCATTTGGCATAGAGAGCCGAGCTTGCTGGGGCATTCAAGAGATCTTTTGAGCCTTTCCCCCTGAGGTTAAGCCCAGGAAGCAAGATAGCCAGATTGATCAAGGATTTTCAGGGTAGTCTGAGATCCAAGGTCTCCAAGACCAAATGGAATAATCTTTACAGAACCCCCAAGGAACTCAGTGAACAGAGAAGCACAACCTAAACTCTGGTCAAGGCTGTCTACGGGGAAGAAGCATGAGAAGCCGTTAGTGGACGAGCTCCACCAGCAGAAGTCCAAAAGGGTGAGCTCCTTACTAAGCCCCCAACTGAAATTCAAAGCAATCCACACTGAATTAGATAGCGATTTTAAAGAATAACTGTCAGGGTCAGGAGTCAGGTGGACGGAGATCTGGGCACTTTATAATCGCGAGGAAGACTATTTGTTGAAGGGTATAAATCATTAACACAGCTTGAAGAGAAAGTATGCTTGATCTGTGAGGATCTGATGAATACTTGTAAGGCTCTTGCATGAGCTACAGTAATTATTTGGGAGTCCTTCATGATGCAACATAAATCTTCAGCTGCACTGGAGGATTTGTTGCTTTGGTAATGGGAGCTTTTCAGATGTAAATAACAGTTGATAAATTGTATATAAGCACTTATTTATTTATTTAATGTAGCAGGTTTAACTTATTGTTGTTCAGGATTAATATTTTATTGTTTGTACGATAGATACATTTTCCATCACGTTTAGGTTTAACTTTTTATTTGTATATATATAAATCAGATGTAAATATATGCTGTATGGGGATGCCTATATTTAGGGCTATATATTTTTAGCGTTCAAAATCATTTGTATTTTCAGGGTTCTTATAATTCATTCAGCACAGGCCTGTAGGTTTCTGTTAAGTTTTCTTTGCTTTCAACTTTCATTTCTGCAAGGACATTAAAGTTGCCATGTAGAGTTGGTGTGCTTCTGAAATGTAAGTATTCAGCAGAGTCTCAGCTCATGCTCCTGCTGATTTTCATTACTTCCTATTGTTACGTCTCCGTTCGTTAGTTAATTTTCCGTAAATTCGTTCCGACGAAACTTTAGCGACACAAGTCCTTTCTTAAATAAAACTGGTTTATTCTTTCCGAATACAACTTTACGATACACTTAATTTCAACAGTCGCTCTGTAATAAACGCTATAATTCTCAACGAACTTCTCACGTGCTTAACAATACTCACTCTGAC